GGTAGCGGAGGGGCTGGATCCTACCACAGGGTGAGAAACCAATCTATTATTACCTATGGCCAATGTAAAATTAACATAACCCCATGCAGATCTTTGAATAGGATACTGGCAGACACAGGGAAAGCATGTAAACACCACATAAAAAAGGATTGCTGGACTCAAACCCAGGACCTATTTGCTGTGAGACAACAGTGCCAACCACTACACTACACAAACTTTGCAAACCAACAGCTAGAGAGTGTTTAATGTTAACTCAAAATTGTCAACCTCACAACATTTGTTAGGAAGACTTTTAACATCCACGGTCGGATTATCATGACCATGATCATGACCATGATCATGGTCATGATCATGACCTGGACAGGTCGACAGTGTGTCACAGAGCTTTTTTATTCCTGTATTCCATTATTTTTATTATTGCTGAATAGACGCTGAAGGATACACCCTTGTCGACACTGGCTAAAATTTCAGCAAAAAAAATTCTGGCACAACTTTACCTGCTTCCAACATGCATGGAGAGGATGAAAGAATTCACAAAGCAGGAACTCCAGCAACACTTGAGGGAAGATGAACAACTTTAATAATTGACCAACACGTTTCGGCTTGTGGTCTTCATCAGGGTCATAGTAAAACATTGTAAAAAATTGCTTAAATACAAGACAGGAAACAGAAAAAACTTCAAATTAACCAGTCAAAACTTCATAGATAGGTCAGCTGACATATAATAGGTAGGTATTGGTTGATTGGCTAAGTTACGCCCAAGTGAATACCGGACTAGTTCATTACTGATGAGGGGGGGGGGGTAACATAACCCCCATATGTCTGAAAACACATTTGTTAAAAGATCCTTATTTATGTCTCTAAAATGTAAAATCTAGACTTAAAATGTGGACTTAAAGTGAGATGTCTAGAACGCTACTTCTTTGGTTAAAATAATAAAATAAATAAATAAATAAATAAATAAATAAATAAAGGTGTAGTTCATAAAAACTCATTGATAGAAAAATCCTCATTCATGCCTCTGGGGTGCAGACTCTTAAAACGGAATATCCAAAATGCTTCTCCTTTTTTCCGGATAAAATTTATATTGCCACCTCTTTGGTTTAGTTTAATGGCTTCAATGCCTAGGAAAAATAATGGTGAATTTGGATGTTTATCATTGAAGTGTCTTGCAACAGGGCTGGTTAAATCATTCCTCTTGATCGAGCTTCTGTGTTCATTAATTCGATCTTTAAGAGGGCGGGATGTTTCTCCTAATATATTTCATTGCATGGGCACTGTATCATGTAGATTACATTTTTAGTTCTGCATGTGATAAAGCCCTTTATGGCAATGGTTTTGTCACCTATAGGGTCTTTGTATGATTTAACATTTTTGGTGTATTGACAATTAATGCATGCCCCACACTTGAAATTGCCATGTAGGTTATGGGTTATCAGGGTTTTATCTGGAGTAATAGGGTCCTGGTAAGCTCTAACAAGCCTATCTTTAATATTCCTTCCTCTCCTGTAGGTTATCATCGGTGGTTCTTTGAAGGTACCTAATAAGTTTGGGTCATTCTGAAGGATATGCCAGTGTTTTAGAATTATTTCTTTAATTGTTCTGGTTTTTGGCGTAAAGGTTGTGCAGAAGATAAGGTTGGGTTTATGTTTTGGAGATTTCTTGGTTGTTAAATAGACATCCCTACTTACTGAACTCACCTTCTCTTCTGCAGAACTTAACCACTTACTTTCTTTCTTTGAATTTGTTCAACATCTCTTCTTTACTCTCATTATATTCATCATGAGTCTCACAGATACACTTGAGTCTAATCAACTGGCTTACAGGGATGCTCTTTTTGAGGTGGTTCAGATGGAAACTTGCAGCATGTAATAATGTATTCCGATCAGTGGGTTTAGAATACAGAGATGTGGACAGAGATTTGTCTTTTTTTGTTACTTTCATGTCCAGAAAGTTAATTTCTTCAGTACTGTAATTGAGGGTGAAACGTAAAACTGCAAAGTGTCCATTAAGGAATTCTACAAACTCTAGTAATATAGAGACTGGTCCTTTCCAGAGTAGAAATACGTCATCTATATAACGTTTCCAAGATACAATGAATGGTAAATAAGGGTTATTTTGGTGATTATATAGAATTTGTTCTTCCAGATGACCAACAAAAAGACAGCCAAAACTGGGGGTCATTTTGGTTCCCATTGCAGTGCCAGAGATCTGAAGGTATGGCTAAAATTTGGCATGAACTTTAGTTTTTCAAAGAGAAAAATATTTAGTTTAGTAAATTTACGTATTTCACAAGCACCTTTTATACATCTTCTTGCTTTCTATCTAACATTCACACTCTGATAATCACGCTGGAAATAACTTAGGTTCAGTATCTTGACCAAGAACACTTGGGGATATAGGCTAAAGCAGCCAGGGATCGAACTTCCAACCTTCCAGTCAGTAGTTACATTTATTTGAATTATGCAGGGGTAGTTAGGTTAGCCACAACAACCATTAAGTAACAAATATCAATTGTGTGTGTGTGTGTGTGTGTGTGCATTATGTACATGGTTCTGTGCTATACCATGCATTATGCATTGGTTCTGTGTGTCTGAATATGTCTAACTACTCTGTATGTAACAAGAGTTACGAGCCTATTTTAAAAATATAGGGAGTATGATTAAAAAGTTGTCAGAAAAAAAACGACTCAAGTAAAGTACTGATACCTGATAATTGTACGTAAGTACAGTAACGTATTTGTATTTCGTCACAGTAACGAAGTATTTCCAGCTCTGCTTAAGTGTAATGAAACAGCTCCTAGTATCCCTCACTGTTTTTTAAAGCTTCGTTTATTTATTTATTTAATCAAATTTCCATTTGTTCCGCTCGCTTGGGTTGACTTTACTGTGTGTTCCGTTGAAACCTGTCCGGCGGAAGTTGTGATCAAGGCCTCGTCACAAAAGCAATGGCGAGCGGTATCGGCAGTGAGTAATATTTTTCAAGTCTTTCTGTTTTTCCTCGTTATTTATAGACAGTAGTAATAGCAAACAAATTCCAAGCCTTGCAGCTAGATTATTTTAGCCAGAACCTGTAGCCCCTTACCTTGCTAAAACGTTGCACCGTGTTTACGGTGTGTGTGTGTCTCACGAATGTGTCCCCCTTAATCGACTATGCTAAGCTAACGCTATAAATTAAATATTAGCAATGCGTATGTTGTTGTTTTTTTCTAGAAATGTATGTGATACGTCTCTTGATAGGGTTGTGTGTTTTAACTTATATTCACGCCCCAGTAAACGTGAGGAATGCTTTGCTGTAATCATATTAGCATACCCAAGCTAATATCAATAGTGTAGCATTAGCTAGCTACCTTGGCTAAATAACGAAAGACTTTTAAATCATTCATTTGACGCCGTTGCCCTTGGTTTTTTTATTTTTTAAACTTAAAATAACGTTTTTAACATAATACGATCTGAACGGTTTTTATTGACTGTACGGGAACAGGACCGTCGTATGTGTGGTACTTCGGGAAAAAATAATAACAAACCACTAAAAAACCTGAGACAGTCCGCAGAGGCTGATTGGTCATCAGTGACTGATGATAGTGTTCTTCTTAGAAAAAATACTAGTTTTTT